CTGTTGGATTGATATTATTTTGTTATTTCCGCGAACATAGCCTAAAATATCTAAACAAATCGTTTACAATCTGCTGCTGAGAGTCAATAAGGGGGCACAGGCGGTGGGTTTGGAGTGATATTCCAAACACAGGTCACGTTAGCTTCTACGACGTAGTCAGCAGCTGCTGGCTAATTCCGACATTAGCTTCAGAGTGGACTGGCTACGTGGATAGTTAATCCGTGTCACCTGTATTTTACCACTTGAACGGTTTTGTTATAACAAGATGCTATGACAGCGCACTCAATATTTACAAGTCTGTGTGGTTTTCAATGGAGACTAACCTTGCTTGGGTAAGACCATCAGCAAACTAAACACCAGGTCGTTTTTATTGCAGTGTTTCTTTGCTACTAAGGGTGGTGGATCCAATAATGCGCGCAAGTTGTTCTCTAATTTTATTCTGCAACGCGCCTTGCTTCAACGTACAATTGTGGTTCTTTTGGACCTGGGATGTAATACTTCAAGTTTTACGGTAGCTTTCGACTGGACTAGTCATGCATCCGAATACACAAACGCTGCAAAAGCTGACAACAGGACACTGGTGATTCTTTAAAGCCCTTTAAACGTGAATGTTAATGCTTGAAATGTGACTCTCTTTGTCAAAACGACGCTTTTGTGATATGCTACTATTTGTGTGTCGCTATATTTGCTGTAATGGCTTGTCTTTAAGCTGGGACGTTGCACAATCAGTGCATTGTATTGTTCGACTCGGTTACTCTTTGAAAATGGTACAGATACGTTGTAATTTGAGGTAAACATATAATGGTTCTGTAATGTTTACCACTGAAAATGCTGTCGTTGGTTTGAAGTCATTGGTTACAGATTTCCTACTTCCATGGCACAGTAATTGTAAATCACTAGCCTTATCAGTCCAGTATAATGCTAATTTATCATTTTTTTATTTTTTATTCTGAACATTTCCATGTAAATGTGTCTAAAATCTCACCTTTTGCTGCCACATTGGTAGCAAGGGATGTAAAGGAGCGTCATTGCAGTTTGTTTTCACTGCATGCTGTCCAGTACACAGTGAGTGGTAAAGGTTAATTTTGAGTAATTCACCTCTGCGCGTCCCAAGAATGGTGCATTGTGGGATAGAACACTGGGTGAAGTGTCAGAAATGAATTAACATCCATACATTCTTGTATAGTGTTGTTCCATTAAATATTTCAGAAATATAATAGTATCAAGGGACACCCTTCCTTTGCTGTATTAGAGAAACGATAAAATAATGACAGCTTAAAATACCATAATTTTCAGGAAAAATCATAACATGCCAAAATATGGCAGTGAAGAACCTTTTGGTGTTTTTTAATTCTTTGTTTTATAGTGGTTTGTTTCACAAAGATTGTGTTACCATGGGGTATGTTAAGAGTTACCATGGGCTGCCAGATCCTTGTGGATTGTTGTAGGCTTTAGCTAACGATTGAAGTGGTTAACGGTCACTCTCCTGAATAATATCAGACAGAATAGGAATCATTGATTAGTGCCAACTGATTAGCTGGTCACACACTACATCATCTGAACTGAATTCCAGTTCCCCTCGACTTTGCAAAAGATTAAGAGATCGAGAATAGATGAGTGTAAAACCAACGTCCTCCAACATCTACAGTATGTTCGCCTCATTTCAGTATGTTGACAGTGTGTTAAGTGTGAGCAAATATAGTTTAGTCTAAATACTGTTTTATTTCATTAGTAATATTAGTCATGATAACTAGTATTGCCTTTGTATTTGTTATTTATATTTGATTAATGTCAAAATGTATATTTTATACCTTTAATTTGACAGACCCTCTAAACCACGGGTATTTAATTATAATATATATATATCATTTTGAAAATTATTAGGGTAATACTAAGTAATTAACCATTAAGAAAAAGTGCATGTTCAAATAAAGGTCATACAACAGAATTTAGAACCTGGTCAGTGTGCATCAACTTCTGGATCTGCCTGTTAGTTACTTATGCTCTAAACCTTACATGATAGTAGGTCTTACTACTGTCTTCTACCCTCTAAACTATGCTGCTATTCTTCTGTTGCAAATCACTTGTCTCCATCCATTCCACTCTGCCTGCACTCTTTTCTTCACCCCTTTTATGGACTGTCCATTAGTCTGGATGGTTGACCCTAGGTATTTAAACTCATTCACCTTTACTAGCTCAACTCTTTGAAGCTTTATCATTGTACTTGACCCACTCTCATTTACACAGGTTATTTGTATAATAATCCAAATAATTACTTGTGTTCTGTATAACATTCTCCCCTTTTTTGTGTTGATGCAGGTTGTTTGGGCACTGTTGCAAGTCAGTTGGGGGTGTTCATCTGGCTTCTACCTAGACAAGGAAAAGACATTGGGAGAGCTCTGAGAGTTTCCTGGCCAGCATATTTGCAGTTATGCCCCAGAAATCTGCATCATGATGGACCGAGACACCTTCTCTCATATTGGTCTCTGGTGCCCTAGGCCTTTTGGCTCCTACTCCCAAAACAAAGGGGGGAACCTAGGCTCGAAACCAAGCAGCAAAGGTAGTAATGAGGTTGATCCCTCCTCTTTGTGCAAGGTTGAGCATTCTTCGGGACGAGTGAACGTGGAGGAGCAGGAGGAGAAGGAAGTGAAAGAAAATGTTGGTTTTGAAAACACTCCACCTCCAACTGAGCTTGACACTGGCTTCCTAATGCAGACCAATGCCTCTGCACCACCGGTGTCTTCTCCATTACCAAACTCATCCGAGCCCCAGATGGAAGATGGTCGTGTGCTGTTAGATACTTGGTATGTCATTAAGCCAGGTAACACCAAGGAGAAGATTGCCTTCTTTGTTGCACACCAATTCAGCGGAGCAAATCAGCCAAGACCCTCTGCTGTAAAGGTATGTATGTGGAAGAAAGCAGTAAAGAGCAAAGTTATAATATTGATATATATATTGATAACATATATTGATAATATACAGTATGTTTAAAAACACGAAGGCTGTTCCAGCACCTATTTTAGTTAATGCGTAATATAATTACCATTGTTGCCCAATCACTATTTTATTTATTTAATTTTTTATTTTTTTATAGGTAAAGGGTAATTGGGCCACTGATTGCAGTAAGGCCAAAAGGCGGCGCAGATGCTCCACCAATGACACTCCAACACACGCTCATGCCTCGAAGCCACACCTTAGCCACAACTCCTGTAATGCACCTTCCAGCTGTGACCAGTCACCATCACAGAGGGGTAAACAAACTGACCTTTTGTCAGTGGCAGAGATGATTGCCCTGGTTGAGCAGCGAACTGCTATGGCTCTCCAGGGAATTGTAGCTGCTCAAAGGAACCAACTGGATCATAAATCTTCTACAAATCAAAATCAGGGCCTTTCCCCCAATCAACACACTCTTTTTCATGGGACAGGTTTAGATCCCGCATCCATGTTAGCTGCGCCAGAGAGCTCAAATAGCGATGCATCCATTGAGTCATGGGATTTGACAGATAAGGAGATAGAGGGCCAGCAGGAGTCATGCAGGGTAGCTAAGGCAATAGCGCATTTTGAAGCCCAGAACATGGAAAATCAACTTAATCTGGATGTTTCTTCGGTGGACTCTGTGGGTCAAGACACAGACAGGGAAATGGGCACAGTAAGGGAATCTGGCCCTGTGACCACTTCACCAACAAGCGAAGGTCATGACGAGGTCAGAATAGCTTTTAGAGTGTCAAACCTGGACACGAGGTCTCATTTGGAATCAGCTAGCCGGTCTCGCTGTGTGTTTATGAGCTGTGGTAGTGGCGCTAACTATGCTCCAGCCAGGGCAAAAGAGAAAATCACGTGTGACCTTTATCAACTACTTACCCCATCATTTAGAGACTCAAACCTGTTGCTTGCTGCCTCAACCTCGGCCTCCAAACTAGATGAGGAGCAGTCTCATGTTAACAGGACTGGCTGTGGAAGCCCAGAGAGAATGCAAGAGCTGCCTTCAGGTGAGAAGAAAGCTGACGGTGTCAGGAGAGACCTAGTGACTGGCTTTCACGTGGAGGTTGTGGTAACAGGTGCAGTAGACCAATGTGTGTTCTATGGCAAGGACAGTAAAGAGAAGGTACAGGGTAAGACTGTGTGTTTTGTCATGCCGAATGGTGGCGGGAGTGGCAACGGTGTAGAAACCTCCAATGAGCATTTGTCAGATGATCCCCTCCCTGGACAGCTGTTTCTTCTTCAGCCTCCCCGAGGAGCAGAGGCAGATGCTAAAGTAATGGATCACGGCAGCGGGTCAGGGTTGTGCTCTTTAGACTGTGTCAACAAGACTGGCCCCGTAGTAATGACAGTTAGCTCTGGGGAAAGGTCAACTCAACCTAACTCTGCAAGCTTTGTGGAGGACTGTTCGGACCCTTCGCTGTGTCGCCTCTACCGCCATGTTTCACATGACTTCCTAGAGATTCGCTTTCAAATTCAACAGTTGCTTGAACCACGTCAGTACATGTTGCTGTTGCCTGATCATATCATGGTCAACATCTTTAGCTATCTGCCCACCCATTCATTAGCAGCTCTAAAATGCACCTGCCACTACTTTAAAATGCTCATCGAAACATACGGTGTTCGGGCAGTAGACTCTCGCTGGAATCAAGATCCCCTTTACAGGGATGACCCATGCAAGCAGTGCAAAAGACAATACGAATGTGGGGATGTTTCCTTGTGTCGTTGGCACCCTAAACCATACCACCATGACCTACCTTATGGACGCTCCTACTGGATGTGCTGTAGACGTACAGACAAGGACACACCTGGCTGCCGTATCGGGCTCCATGATAACAACTGGGTCCAGCAGCGGGTTGATGGCTCTGAGTCCATTTGCACAAAGAGAGAGGACAGGAGGGAGGAAGCACGGTAGAGAGAGGAGTGTAACCTTCACATAAACACTGTTATAAACCTGTGTATCCCACCTCCTTTCTCTCTTGAATCTGGAAGAATATGAGAGGAAAGGAAAGAACTCCAGGACTGTTGTTTTAAATTGGGACCAGCTGTCCTGAAAAAGGAAGCCATGTTGCTTTCTTTGCCTTGTTTTTCTTTTGAAGCCTTTGACACATTTGTCTGGAGTCTATGGTGAACTCTTCCCAGTTCTTGTTTTATTTGGTACCTAAAACTTACATGTCAGCTGTGCAATTGTAGAGTGGAGTAAGATGCCAGAGATGAAATCTTCAGCATTGATAAAAGTGTGATTGTATAACATAAACTTGATTTTCTGTAACAAAAGATAATCTTTTAAATCCTGTCCTGGTCAACATCATTCTCGTTTGTGCATATGTTTTTGCCTCTGTTGATCATCCCTCTCCAATGTTGTCCTGTGACGTCTTGAAAACGCGTAAACATGTGGTCCATAGTCTTTATTTTTAGCATAATTCTTGGCATTTGTATTTATTTGACAGTGAAGCCACATGTTGCTGACCAGCCCTAAAGAGTGACCACAGAACTTCTAGATTACTGAGAGTAATAGGTTATAGAGTTCAATGATAAGGACTAGATCGGCCAATGGGATTAAGAAAAGATTAATTGAATGTCACTTTGGAAAGGCCTGATTTACATTTGTTTGTTTTGACGCTTGTCGTTTAGTTTCTGTTTGGGCAGTTTTATTTGAGTGTTAAATAATGTTTTATTCATAAGGATGAAAGCCTCCTCTCATCCTCCTCTTGTATTTTCCCTTTTGACAAAGCTGTCATGGCTTCAAAACTAACAACTCCAATTATCACAGATCATGGACTCTCTCTCCACCAGCTTCAAGCCTTAAATGGACCCTACCTCTGTTTCCAGACTAAGATGGGGAATTGCACATAACCAAATCAGTAACAGTATGTCAGATGTTCCATAGAAATGACTTGATCCACCACGTCTCTCATTCAGAGTATAATATGACCCGTGCCTGGTCATTGCACTATGACTGTTTATCGTTTTGGGCATTAGGAAGGGCTGTCCTGTCTGTTGTGCTGCTAGTCAAGTTTCCCTACCTGCGAGCCCGTGAACTGGACTTTGTAATGTGTTGAATGATCCTAAATCTTGGAGCTTGGAAGGCTGCCAGTTATTCAACTCCAAATGTTTATACACCTATGGAAAATATCTGCTTTAATAAAAACAGAAGTGAAGATTAAAGATTGGGAACCCATCTTAATCCATCGATGGTGTGTGATGACTAGTAATTTGATAAGTGGAACTCCAAAATCTCCCACTAACTCACCTTTAGTTTTGCTCATTTACACACACACTTACACACACTTTTTTGTAGCCTTGCATGCTAAACAAAGCCTGTGCATTTGCTGATCTGGTTTTGCAGTACAGAAGTATAGAGTTATAGAGATGCAACAAAAATACCACTTCTGGCTTTGTAAAACCATTAGAGACACCAAGTCCTTAAATGATTGCATGATGATGACTTCATTCAGTCACCTATAAGTTCTTCCCCTCCATTGAAATGTAATTAAGTTTTGTCGTGAAACCTTGTTTGCAGAAGCTTTTTATTAATACATTTGCACTGAGCAGTGGACCTCCAACCATACTTTTTACAGTTTCTAGCAGCACCATAGATTCTGTTGTTTGTCATTCCTTGAGGAAAACAAGATGAAGAAGATAAGTGCATTAGCAACTGGGCAAATCATATATTTACACTATACAAATACACTATGGATAGCCATGCACCTAACTGCTGCAGGCAAAAGTGAAAATGAGTGAACAGTTTGAAGATGCTGAGCCTGGCAAATAAGGTAATTTATTGCATAAAAGTGAAATGAATGTTGAACTTTAATGTATGTGTTGGGCTTTGTCATTATAGGTTATGTATGTACAGTACTGTGAAAATGTTTTATGTGGATATTATGTGTATATATACACATATATATATGTATATATATATATATATATATATACACACACACATATATATATGTATATATGTGTGTGTATATATATATAGATATATATATATATATATATATACCTATATATATATACACACACATATATACATATATATATGTGTGTGTGTATATACAGTACATATATAAACACACACCTGTTTTGCAGGCTATCAACAACATTAATTTGTAAAAGATAGGTATTTCCTGCTAGGGGGCGCTAACCATGACAGCTTGAGGCCAGAAAAATGTTGACAGTTTTACCATTTTCCTTTTTTACTACCTCATATTTATTTTTCTTGGTCCTTTTCTACTGTCAACAACACTTTTAGACATGGAATATGGGGATTGAGAATCTGGTTTGCTTTTTGATATGCTATGGCTAACTTATTTATGATTTTGACTGTGTTTGTATTCGGATACTTTTGTACTTTAACATTTTAAAGTGAAAATATTTTAAATTATAATTTTTTTGAAACAAAGCATAGTTTGGGCCACAGTGTTAGGGTGATCTATATATAATGTTTTTAAGTACTCCTGTTTCCTCCTATAAACATGCAGATTGAGGAGAAGGTTAATAGAACACCTTAAATTCACCATACCGTGCTATAAATGTAATAAGTGTAAATTGTTGTTTGTCTGCTGCCCACCATATACATATATAATCATGATTTATCATAATGAATTGAGATTACTGTGGTTACATTGATACTTTGCTACAGTTCTGTGGGTCATAGTGAGGACATCCCAGCGACAACACCAAGCAGGAAAATGTTTACACCTGGATTTATTTTCTTTTATAAACAGGAGGCTATTTCAAGTCAAAAGGAAACACATTTTTTTGTTTTAAACAAAACATATTTAAAACTGACTGTCATCACAATCGACAATATAGCAAGAAAATGAATGAGAGTTAAAAAAAGAATGCTAAAATATATAAATAAAATTAAACTTTGCATAGTTAACACAGTTAACTGAAAAAAGTGATTAGAGCTTTTACACCAAAGTAAATTCTTATCAATTCACATTCCTGTATTTTAGTGACATTGACTTTAAACCAATCCTTTAAAAAATTAATCAGGCTGCTAGGGCTGTAATCAGTCGACTGGTCGATTTCCTTTTTTTTTAGTCAAAATTGGACGGCTTCATTTGATCAAGACTTTCTTTGGTTGATTACAGCCCTAGATCTGATCCGACTGGGGCAAATAAATAAGTAAAGAAGCAAGAACAAAGGCGACAATAAATAAAAAAAAGCATTCTGAATTGATAGCAATTTTTAAAGAGTTTCTAATCTTTTTTTAAATCCGTAATGCTGTAGACATTGGTAATGTTTTTCTTTTTTTTTTAGGAGATGGAGAAAAATGAACGAGAATGCACGTCGGTAGACGACAGGTAGGCTCATCCAACAGTTGCATTTAAAAAGCAGAAAACCGGGGGGAGGGTGGGGCTGGTCCAATAGATTTCCCTCCTGGTGGCCTGTGGATTAGGAGTTTACATTCAAGTGCTCTGTGTTTTTGGCATCCTACCACTACCACCTCAAACTGGTCCATGTCAAGCTATTCAGCAGCTTTCTTACAGTTTTCATTTGCTTGTCTCAGTCTGGATAGGATGTGTTTTTTAGGAAATTTTAAAGTGGTACACCCAAACTGACTTACTCCTCCAGTGTCCCCAGGGAGCTTTTCACGTCTCTGAACCCAGCTGCGCCAGCCTGGTTTCCAACAGTACACGCTGTCATAGAACCGTGAGCCATTTTCCCCACCTAGCACATAAATCCTCCTTTTCCACCTAGCTACACCCCCAGCTGCTATCCGTCGTGGTAGCCCTGGAAATACAACAGGGCACGGGGACCGATCACTTCCACCACTGAAACCCCCCTTTTGCTCTGTGCTCACCATTACTCCTCCACCTGTCACCTCCCTCTCTATTCCTGCACCCCTACCCTCTTTAAAAAACAAAACCCGCCCAGTGGCATCTAAAGTATCAAGGTTAGTAAAATTTCCATCCAGGAACTTAGTGGTATCCCTCATGTATCCACCAATTGCACAGACTCCTCCTCGCACTGCTACTCCTCCAGCAAGGCAGGTTGCACCAGATTCTAGAGCCACACGAGTCCAGCAGTCAGTCAAGGTGTGATAAATGAGCACACCTGAGTGAACCACAGCTCTGTGTTGTTCTAGTGTGGTACCACCCAGAAGGTAGATTCGTCCACGTAATGCTGCGCAGGCAAAGGCTCGAAGCGGCAGGGGAAGCTGAGGCCCAGTTACCCACTTCAAAGTGGACAGGTCCAAGATCTCACTGGAGTCCAGCAGGGCTGACCGATTGCTCCCACCTATAGCATAGAGGGAATCGCCACAGCCCAGCAGGCCAAGCATAGCACGGGGGTGGAACATTGAAGGCCTCTCAATCCAAAGGTCCAAGACTGCATCGTATTCATGCACAGATGCAGAGACAGAGCCTGTCCGCAGGATTCCACCTGCTATAAAAAGTCTGTCACCCACTGCTGTGCAACCGGGACTAACAAGAGTTCCCAGGGCTGCCAACTTCTCCCATTTTCCTGTCCGAGGATCAAAGCAGTCCACGGTGTAGTCTCCAGCAGACACGTTCTCATTTTCCCGAGCTGTCAGGTCCACACAAACAATCTTTTTTTCAAACATTCCTTCCCTTGGTCTCAGAGGCCCCCCAAGGCCCTCGCCAGCAGCTGCAGGCCCTAACTCCTGGTTCAGTCTTTGGCTCTCATCTTGAGAAAGCAATCCTGGCCGCAGGTGATGAAGCAGTGAGGGCATATATGCATAGCGGTCCAGGGGCTGGTGCTCTGCCCAGCGGCGCGCTGCATCGTAGACCTCTGCCTCAGAGTCCACCCCGAGGCGGTCTGAGCTAAGAAGGCTGCCTAAAGTATTGTGGTCAAGTAGGAGAAAGTCCTTCTGACGTGCAACCCTGGGAAAGTGCTGGGCAACCAGGCGCAGGGAGGCACGGAGTAGCAGCTGGTCATGGTGGGAGCGAGCCAGAGAGTACATCCCCAGGCAATTATCTACTGAAAGATGCTCAAAGAGAAACCTGGAAAGACAAAGGTAAAGAGGACAAAAGGTGAAGGGGTTACAAAAGCATTATCAAACAAACAAATGTACCAGGCTTATAAATCCACTGAACTTGCAGGATCAACTAAATAGCAACTGATTGTACAAGGTCCACTCACCTGGAACACAGGTCCTGAAGAGGCACTACCTGAAGCCTATTGGCAGCCACAAATAGATCCTCAGCTGTGTCCAGGGAGAGCCCTGCCTCACCACTGTACACAAACTGAATTACGGTCTCCATCACAGATGGAGTCACTTCCTCCATACGGATCTCAGTGAGGCGGGACTCTACCAAAGGGCTGGTAAACATTGCCCGGAAGTAAGGGCTCACTGCCGCTAAGAGAACTCTAAGGAGAGGGACATGTGAGACAGATTTATCACAGATGTCACAAATACATAAAACATGGGAAGTTACCGCGGAACAGTTCAGCTTTTCTTCTTTGTTTTTTAATGAGAATCTTGTATGTGGCCTTGGTAACAAACAGCAGCTCTTTGCTGCTTTACATATTAAACTTAAGCGTAATGTTAATGACCTAACTATGTCTCCTAGCTTGACTAAGTTGAAATGAGCCAGGGTAAGACCCATCCATTTTTCTAGTAGTTTCACTGATCGATGGTTCAAATACCTGTGACACATGAACTTCTTCCCCTCTACAAGCAAAGTAACATCACACAGCTGCTGAGCATCGAGGAGCTGCTTAAGACCTGAAACACAGTAAGTAAAAATGTATAGAGGAAAAAAATAAATCACAAATTGACAAACCTTTATTTGGCAATCATTTCATACCATGTGTGATGTAGTCTCCCAAAGGGGTAGTGCTGTCATCTGGGAAGTCCTCTTCCTCTGAATCAGAGTCTGACAGAGGGTCCCCTCCCCCTCCATCTCCATCCTGCCATGGCTGGGGCCGCCAGGTGATTGTGCCCCCACGCACAGCGTTCATCTAGAAGCATGTAAGAGAACAGGCATGGAACATCATGGGTGTGTAGGTGTACAAACACTGCACACAGAGCTTCTCTCTGTGTAGCAGACCTGTGTGAAATTAAAAGGCTCTTCTGTTACACACAATAAGTATTTTATTTAGTAAGATGAAATGGTTGATTGTATTAATCAGTGTAAAAACAATTCAAGGTCCCCATAACAGGTTCATAATTCTAGTTTTATTTGTATTTGTATATTCACAAAACGCATATGCCCCGCAACCCGGCCCCGGATAAGCGGACGATGATGGATGGATGGACATATGCCTCAAAGGACTTTTTAGACTAAATTACAGTAAGAAATTATAATCCTAAAACACAAGGAATGTAATACAGGAGAACAGGTTTTACAGATATTATTGAAGGTCAAATAAGTCCAATTTGGCAATGTTTGGGAGAAAACTCTCTTTGAACAGGAAGAAATCTCCAGCACATCCAGAATCTGTGTCAGGTCTGGAGCAGGGTCCGGAGTTGTGGTGTCCCGTGCANNTTCTGGTGTCACAGTAACCTTGTAAATCACAATTCAGTGTTGTATCATTTCCAAAACATAAGTAATAGGTTAATGTTGAAAATATACTACAGTGTAATACAGTCCCCGTCATATTGTTAGAAGGTTTATTGGAGTATTATTGACAACTGGTCACAGGCCAGATTTGTGGGCTTTGTGGAAATTAGGTGAGCCCCAGGCTAGAAACCATTGTTTCAAAGTGTTTTGAGACATTATTAGCAGATGCATGCATGCCAGCCTTCACATTTTGTGATTATTTGTGGGAGTCTTTGAAACCACACATTACTAAGAGATGACTCAGTGTGCCGTTTAAATGTCCGTTATTAAATAAACACTTAAGATAAATAAAGAGTGTGACTTCAGTAAAATGTCTATTCATTTACAATGGATTTAGAAACCTTATTCTGCTGAAAAACATAATGATGAAGTATAATATTTGGCTACAGTCGCACACAATCATCAATCTGCTCTTGCAGCATCACGTCCATGATTAGACGTTGAGGGATTTCGGTCTTTATTACCTTCGTTTTTCTTCTAGTTTCCACCGTGAAAGCTGTTGTCTCAATTCGGAAAGGAAATCAAAAGGGATCCCTGTCAAAAACAAGGTGTAAGGAGAAGTTTCTGGAGACTCCCGTTCACATTCAGTTAAAAGATACACTAGGCCCGGACGCTGCTCACTGCTTCCACCGCAGCCCCGTTCTCACTTCACCGCGAGCTGATGACACTAAAAAAGGTTGAGTTTTCCGTTATACATATTAGTCCTCTGTGTCAGTGAGGGGCACTTCCAGCTCTGTCATGAAACAGTTTAGTGTTTACGTTGGGCTGAGGTTAGACGGCCGCACTTGTCAAATCTTAACCACAGTACAGCGCCATTAAGCGTTAGCTCATCTGATTGGTTAACCTTTGGCATGTGACGTTTTATCCAAACAGACGCTGCCTTCCTTAGTTGCCAAATCCGCTTATTTTAAGCGAAAAGAGATATCCGCTTGCGTTTGGGTTAGAGTTTAGGATTAGGATTTTTAAAAACGTCTTTTTAATGGTGTAGTTATTTATTTGTATCCCTGTATCCCGCGTATCCCTGCTTCACATGTATCTGTCTACCAAACGAAAAATGTGGTAGTATCGTTAAATACAGCTCAGTAGCAAAGGCTTCAGGACTCACTTCCTCTGCTTCTGATTAGCTAACACTAATGTTTACCTTGGTTGGTTATGTTGGTTAGCTTTGAATTGACTCACATCTAAATGTACAGATTTTAACGACAACTATATAAATATTTCTCGAAATGTGATAAAAGTTGTGATATTCTTAGACGTTGGAAAGTTGAAAAAAGCGAAAAACTAAAAAAAATATAGCAATATAAATTGTATTTTATTAGAAAAAAATATGAATAATCTTTGGGGATCCCAGTGCTCGACGTCTTTGTAAATCTTTTTTAAATAATTAATACTAATAATAATAGTAATAATAATATTATAATGTTTTGTAAAACTAATATATAATTTAATATAATGAATTATTTTTATGGCCTGTGCAATAACAGAAGGGGCTAAATTGCCAAGTAGTTGTTACACTATCCGCCAGTTGATGGCAGTAATCTGCCGTGGAGGAAAAGGAGAAAGACAAAGAAGAAGAAAAAGGAAGATGTCGAAGACCTGTATTAACATGCGTCGGTGTCACTCACTACTAAAGATCTGTGTGTCCGTTTACGGCCAGCGTTTCCTACATGGGGCTCGTAGCAGTTTGTACGATCATGTCCTTAAAGGCTACAGCTTCAAGCCTGAAATTGACATGAGAGCAGTGTGTGAAGAGACTGACAAAGTCATAGCTAATGTGGAGAACAGGAAGGGCGACCTGCGAGCCGACGATGTCAGAGAAATTGTAAGTGTGTGCATGTCGACAGCATTATCTGACAAAAAGAATCATGCTGACCTCTATCCAACAAGAGGCTTGCATGTCAAGCCCAGCCCACAGCTGTTTGATTGGACTGGGGTATTTAGGGGCAAAGGCAATTGGGTAAACTTTTGATGTATTTCTTGAATAGTAATGTGTGTGTCTCATGTGGCCTAAATCTTCTACAGATAAATATTTTTATTCTGACACTGTGTGTGTGCTATGTTTGTGTTTCAATACAGGTATGTGTATGGCAGCAGCTTCAGAGAGTGAGGACAGAAATCTCTCAGTTTGAGTCCCAAAAGAGACAAATTAGTGACACGGTCAAAACACTTGTGGTTAGTAAAAGTTTTTACTAGTCTCTAAATGAAAGTTTTCTTGGATAAGCCATTATTGTCTGTCAGTTTTTATAGTGCAATAGACCTGCATAACAAAACATATCCCACGATTTTGATCAGGGCCCAGACGATTTGTTAATGGGTGGTCCATGAACTGTGTTTTTAATTTGTGTTTTTCCTTTTTTCATTACATTACAGAAGAGCAATGACAAGAATGAACTGGCTAATGTAAGTTTCAGTTTTAAAAGTTCAAATTTGAGATATCTGCTGTTTTTCCTGCCAGTAGTGAAGGACATTTTTTTGATTTGTTGCAAATGCTGCAGCTCCAGGAATACGGCCAGGCTCTGCAGGAGGGTCGAAAGATTCGGATGAGATTAGGTCAGCTGTACGCCAAAGAGACCGAGCTGGACCGTGAGCACTACAATAGAGCACTGAGACTTCCCAACACAACGCACCCTGATGTGGTTAGAGCACATTCACACACACACATACACACACTCTATCATTTAGAAGCATGTAAATAGGGTGAGCTCACCTCATTTTATCATGGTAATGTTTAGATATTAATGCTGTTGTTTTACATCAAAGGTGTTGTACTGTTTATCATGAAAAACGGGTTAATGTTTTGATTTTGCTAATAACAGTGTGAATTCTGTTTACACACAGTGCTGTGTGTATGTACACAGCTGTACACAATCTTAATAATTTTTTTAATTTGGAATTCACATTTTGCGCTAATGGGTTGTAAACCCAGTGCAATTATTTATACAGAAATTACCATGAAAAAGATAAATATATATTGACTTGAGCAGACAAGGATTTCATTTGGATGAGTTTTTGTGTGTTGTAGAAATGACTAATTTTTAATTAATATGTCATTAATACTTTTTTTTTGATAGCCAGTTGGAGATGAAAGTAAGGCTAGGTTGGTGGAGTTGGTGGGACACAAACCAGGTATATAAAATATTTTGTAGTTAGCTTTGTGATACATGCTGTTTTTGGTGACACAGCTTTCATTGTTTGTTTTAGAGTTTGACTTCAAGCCCAAGAACCATGTAGAGCTAGGAGAGGAGCTGGGTCTGATAAGACAGCGGTGAGAACCTCTCTGATGTCCTTGTAGGATTTGTACTATTATTATTATTATTTCTCACAATTATTGCAGCAAATAATTTCGAACAACTTTTTTTTTTAATGTCCTCCCATAGAAATTTGTCTCACATCTCAGGCCACAGGACATACTATCTGAGGGGAGCAGGGGCCAGGCTTCAAACTGCTCTCCAAAACTTTGCATTGGACAGACTGTGCCAACGGGTAAGTTGTTATTATTTTAGGAAAATGTCTTGTGCTAACTATATTTATGCTATGTTAATCTAGAAAAGAGTCTCAAATGTCACCTTCGCCTGCAGGGCTTCATTCCCATGGTAGTTCCGGACATGCTCAAGGGGGCAGTGTTTGTGAGTAGTACCACATTTTAAAATTTACAATATAGGCACAACAATATGAAGATGATCAACAGTGAGCACCCGTGCCAAAAGAATACATCGTTGTTAGACGGACTTGTATAATCTGTTTCTGAGTTATAGTATAACAGAGGAAGGAACAAACAAACAACACAAAAAACATAAAATAGAAAAAAATAAAAATAAAAAGACAGTCATCCAAGAGATTATCATGTAAACTTTCTAGATAAATCCCTCTGCACACTGGTTTTGCATAACTCAAGATTCTCTTGTTCAGTTTATCAGCACTTTTCCAAAATAAAGTTAGGTTCCATACATGCGTGCCAGGAACCAGTTACTTTTCACTTTAGGTGTAATAAGATGAATTCAGTTTTTCCTAATGAATTTCCTCTACGTTCTTGAATTCATAGTTTTCTGTTGTGTTTCACAATATTAAGCCATTCTTCTTGGGTAGTGTTAATGTTCATTTCCCTCTCCCTCTTTTCTTTAAGATATAAAGTAGATGTAACTTCTGAAAGAAAGAAGGTAAAGTACCCAGAAGACAGGGCCCCATTAAGAAAACTATATTAGTTTTGTGTTAATCTGGTGTACTTTTGTGGAAATATTGTTTCTCAACCGTCCACACATGCAGTTTAAATATATCTTATAGGCAGAAATATCCTAAATAAAACTGATAAAATCTGTCCTCACTTTGTTATGCTGTCATGATCCATCTGCAGGAAGGCTGCGGAATGGAGCCAAACGCTCACCAGTCACAGGTCTACTCTTTGAACCCCACTCAGTTCCCAGACCTCAGTCTGGCTGGGACTGGTGAGGTTGGAGTAGCAGGTACGTGTCCCTTGTTTAGCATTTCTTTATCAGACATTATGGATTATGGATCTCTAACTTGATATGAACAGTAAAATTAGTTTTCTTTTTGTCATTGCTTAATAACCAACACACATCAACATTTTGTTACTGTTTTATCAAGCGGTGAAAGAAGTTAATTTTTAGGTTTTTATGTGCAAATGTTACTGAAGTAAGTTCAAATCTTGTGCAAATAATTTGTCAAAAAAAGAGAATGGTAGTAGTCTGATTGACTTCCTTTTTAGGCTTTTTCATGGATCATGCAGTGACCTTGAAGGATTTGCCAGTCAGGTGAGAAGTTTGACCTTTGCAAAAGAGTTGGTTTTTTTTGTGTTTGTTAGTTTTTCACAGTCCAAAGAACTAAAAATTGTTGATGTGTCTCTTCAGGACAGTGTGCAGCAGCACCTGCTACAGAGCAGAGACCGACACGGGCAGAGAGACATGGGGCCTATACAGAGTTCATCACTTTAACAAGGTCCAAGAGGCAGCATCACATGACACACACACACCTCAAATGTTGAGATGGTTGAAAAAACAAATAAGCAAAATTTCAAGATGTAAAAAGAACTGACATGAGCAAAAACAGACAATATAAAAACAACTGGCTTTTATGTCATTATAGTTAGGCATGTGTTATGACCAGGCAAAGCTAAAAAGGAACTGCACAAGCAAAGTCTCCTGCCTTAGGCCACCGCTGTATAGACTACACACTTGGTGTGTGTGTGTGTACAGTTGTATAGGTGTGTATAGTCTGTATCATATGAAGACAGATAAAGAACTGCGTTTTTAACTATTTTTTAATATAAAAATTATTGTTTTGTCCTTATTTGGAGGAAAATGACTATATTAGTGCTGGGCACAGATTTTAAAAAGATAAATAATAATGTAACTTTAGTTTTAGCTATAGCTATAGATGTTTTACTTACAATATAATATCCCCCATTCCAGTCTGTAGGCTGCCACTAGAATACCATTTGAGTTTTCTGCTTTCTAAAAGCCTAGATGACTTTATATGAGCAAGAATAAAATATCAAGGGCATTTAGCACTGAGCTAACACTAGTTTCTAATAATTGTATATATTTTGTGAATATGGCAATGACCTGTGTGTTTAGGTTGAAATGTTTGGCGTGACAGCAAATGAAACAGGAGAAGAGAGTTTTCAGCTGCTGGAGGAGTTTGTGTCTTTTCAGAAAGAGTTGTTCTCTGACCTGGAATTGCATTACAGGTGACTTTACACTCACTTAGCTTTATATCTCATTATCATTTGTACATATGATAGGAACTAATTTGATGATGAATTATGACATGTGTCCTTACTCAGGGTGCTGGATATGCCCACTCAAGAACTGGGTCCTCCTGCTCACAGGAAGTATGACATTGAAGCCTGGATGCCAGGGAGAAACAGTTATGGAGAGGTTAGTCCAGCCACACCGTTACTGGACACATCCTGTAGTGAGTGTTTTAACTTCCTTTAATTATAGAATGTATTTAAGGACGTTCTTGTTCTTTTCCACGTTTTAGATTACCAGCGGCTCCAATTGTACAGACTACCAGAGCAGACGGCTCAACATCCTTTATGAGCGAGAGGATGGCAGCCTGCATTACGCCCACACTGTAAGATTGTTAACTGCTGCTCTACCTTTGAATCTCTGAACTTTGTTGTAAATGTATTGTCTGATGTATCTGTCTGATGTCCAGGTGAATGCTACAGCGTGTGCTGTTCCCCGCACCATTATTGCCCTCTTGGAGACTCATCAAACCAAAGTAAGACATTAGACCAACTATAAAAACTCTTAATCGATGCACCATTTTGTTGGTATAGCAGTAAAAAACACCATAACCCTTACCTATTATATATTTGTACTATATATACTATACATTTGTAATAAGTTATAAGTAACGTTTACCATTTGTTTTAGTTTTTTTGTTTTAGTCATTCATTCTGTCTGTCTTCTCACCCAGCTATCAGCCATTTTTGGTTCACTCATTTCTCAGTTATGGTCTTTAGTGGTGTCCCCCCTGTCCTGTCCTGGCCTGTAGGCAATGGGACACATTTGTCAGAAAAAACGTGTTTGTTTGTGTTAGGCTCACCTGTTCCATACAATGATAAGCATGCCAGTATTTTGACATTTTATATTTATAGTATTTGCAGTGTTTAAATGCCTTGGACATGCAGTATATAAACAAATTAATTACAAACAAAGTCTGAATAATAGATGTCATTTTTAAATTAACACCAGCACTCTCTTCTTCCTTCCAGGAAGGGACAGTGCGTGTTCCTAGAGCTCTGCAACCTTATTTGGGACTAGAAATGATTGAGAAACCAACTTACAGTGCACTGAAGTATATTGGACCAAACCAACAGAACCCCCCACCCAGACCTGCTCCGACCACCAGATAACACTCAGCAGATAATCTCTGAATACAATTCCCTTCTATTGTGTATTTATTAAATTTTGAAACACACTCTGTGTATGATGATGTAATTTATCAAGATCATAGATCATGAAAATAACATATTACAATTATATTATTATAAATTATAATTCAACCCCAATGACTTTCAAGTAAAACATGAATTTACCACAGGGTTCTTTTTATTGTATATATTTTTAAAAACTAGTAAACACAAGTGAACATCTTTTTTGTTACATTTAGATCAACAAAAGCATGAAGTGTTTGAAATAGGTGTCTGTGTCATTTAAAACATGACATTTCACAGGCATCTTGAACAGCTTTAACACATTTTATGATTATACTGTATCTCTGTTTTGAATAAGCTTATTTTGATTGTTTTATCTTTTTCCAAAATTAAAAAAAAACCTGGAAAGGTACTCATTTCCAGTCCTTAGACAATTCAGGAATGATGATGATGATTATTTATATTTTCACCTCATACGTCCAACAAACAATCCATCAATATTTTGCGCCGACTTAGAAAAGCTGCTAACCAGAGGTCTGCTGGTCCAACACTGACTGGATAAGGCTGAGCAAAGAAGAAAAAAACTCTGGTACTCCCTCATAACCTATTGAAAGGACAGACCAATAGAATAGCAGTCAGTACATCAACAGTTAAAGTAACACTAGCTTATTCACAAGCACAACGACAACACCTGATGCCTGATCTCCTGTTTTCCATTTCTTGTTTAGTTTTTTAGACTATATACGGAACAAATAATGTAATATTATTCTGGTCAGACAAACATACACCACTATCATTCAATTACACACTACTTCTCTAGCAGTCCTTTCATAGCTTTACTGACAACATGGTAGTTATCCGGCCATGGTAGTATCACACAGCTGCAGTACCTGGGAAGATGTTGATGTCAATGATGGTCAGGGTGTGGGTGTGTGAATTAATGATAACGTCTACGCCAAGCAGGGCCATGCCTAGCTGAGCCCTCAACTCTTTAACAAGAGCCTCTATGGCCTGGGAGCTCGGAGGAGGCAGGCACGGCATCTGTTCATCCAGCTACGAAAACGGAAGAGAGTAGAGACTGGTCAAACTCAGCAGTTGAGACAGTTTGTAGCATGTTCAAGCCCTACGGCTGATTCTGAATTTAGCCATCGCTAAATGACAAAACCAAATGGCAAAGGCACAGAAGGATGGCTGCTTCTGGGTTAATGTCTTGTAGCATTCTTATAGTCGGGTTTTTTCATACTCACAGCAGTGAGATTAGAGCTGGATTCAGGCTTCGACACCTGATGGCTATTGAAGAAGATGGTTTTTCTATCTGAAGACAAAGGGAAATCAGAGCATAAATAAATAAAGCACAAACAACTCACACAAAAAAGAAAGCCAGTCTATCAAAAAGGGAGAAGTAAAAACTAAACCACGGGATTGACTAAAGGCAGGTTCACAGAGGAAAAGTACATTTTTGTGTGTCGTTGCAACTGACCACAAGGACCAGAGGGGAAGTTCTTAAGTGATGGCCTCTCTACACAGAAGTGTTTGTCTCCTATCACAAAGACCTTGTGTAGAACTGCTCCATGATTGATGAAGCTCTGGAGTACACAGGGAGGGTGGACATCAGCAAAACTGTCAGCACTAAAGATAAGAGACATCTGCAGGACACACATGTTTGACAAATGTTAAAATGACGAGAAAACAAACACACAACAGGACATTCGCAAAAATCACACACCGTAAAAATAAAAGCACTCACCTCATGAGACAGAGAGCCATGGGCCACTCTTGTTTTGCAAACTGGGGCCAACAGAGGAATGGGAAAGAATAGAGCATGAAATAAGGAACATTCTCAAATATGTTGGTTAAATGTGTTTATATTTGTACTTATATGTATTATATGCATCAAGTAGCATTTGTAAATGTGCTGTCATTTAAAAAACATTTTTCACAATAAAATGCCAGAACAAATGTTATTTTAATCAGGGCCTTAAATTGTGAAAACCCTACAACTCCTTTCATTATTTGTCAAATGAAGCAGAGTTGACTTCAGTTCCTTAAAATGAAAAGACGCTCAGTTCCCTTATTATCCTTTTTTTATTTAAGAGACTTTTTTCTGATTATTAAAATGTGTACCACTTGTTTTATGTTTATTTTGTAACATTGATGTAAAAAGTTATTAACAGAAAGTAAACTCACGCAGGGGAAAGCTAAGGGATTGAGCCATCAGAGTCTGCTTAGAGACCAGGTCACTTTCGTTGTGGATTTCCAGGTATGGAGGACTGCAGATCCGCCAGTCTGCGAAACGGGGAGTGCAGAACCAGCTGTAAACATTTTTAACCAACAGTGAACATCAAACGTTTTCTCTAAAGGTGCAGGTCACCTTGCAGAGAATTCTCCAACTTGCTCATAATTCTGTATGTAGCAAAGCGGTCCAGCAGCTGTGTCATTGCTGGGAGAGGATCGAGAAGAACTGTACTGGGATGGGCTGACACGTAGCTCTGTGGTATTAGACAAACAGAAGCCATGTTACCACCACCTGTAGCCCAGTGTGGTTCACCGGTTTTAATGATATAGATGCACTGCAATAGACTCTATTAAATCATCTTATACACTACAGACACCTATTGGACAACCAAATGAAAAAGCACCCCTGCGCCCAAAATATGGTTACAGTTTCTCTGTCTTTCAATTCTAGGACATTTCTGAAGGAAAAAAAAAACTACACTATCATCAATATATATGGAAAATCTTACCATTAAAACAGAATTTACCTGAAAGTTTGCAAGCAGCTGCTGTGACTGTCTGTTGTGTTCAGCCTCCACAATTATGTCAGACATCTTGTGAACAATTACATTGAAGGGTCCCTGGAGTGCCAGTGGCTGAGTGAGGTCAATCTAATAACACAAAAGTTAGTTTTCAGTTGCAGTGATGTTTTTTATTTTTATATAGACTTGAGGTTTACATGGGATAACCTGGGCCTAATCAATCAAAGTGGCTTAGTTTGAATAACACAACATCATATAGGCTTCTCTTTTTTGTTGTTGCTTACATCCTTGTCCTTCTCTAGAGATGAACCTCACTCACTGCCTTGAGATTGCAGTTGGTGTTAATTTCCTCACAACTACTATACAGTATATTATTTATATCATATCAGGTATTGTGCTTGAAAGTTCGTAGAATTAGTTTATATGCTACACATCGACACACAGTTATCTTGTTGTTTTGGACCAGGCAGCCACCATGAACCTCAGGTGATAGGGGCAGGTGGCCGTGACATGGATTAGTAAGAGTTTAGACATCTGTTTATGGCACGTGTCCCACTGAATACACAAGAGTTCTTGACAACTGTCACTTCTAACACTGTGGTTCCTGCGTTCCTTCCTCCTCCTACACTTTACTCCTTAGGCTTTCATGAGGAAGTTTGTTTGGATACCATTTGTTACATGTATAAACATGTATCAATCATGACAGACACACACGGACAGACAAGGCTGCAAATGAGTACAGATGACGTACTAGCTTTAGCCTAGCGTTGTGCCGATTTCACAGACTTACAAGAACAACGCATATCTCTAATATTTCTAATACTCAGACCACAAAGTTTGTGATGAATACAAGTTATAGAATCTGGTTTCTGTCAAGATATGCAAAACAATCCATGCTATCTGGTTTGTAGCATAGCCTACTAACAGTTCCACAAGTACAACATCCTAAGTGTCATTTGGAAGCATCACCTAATAAATATTGGCAAACATTTTTATATCTATACTATGTATCATAAAGTTCTTACCATCACCACCTCTACCCCATGGAGCCTGCAAGGTAAAAACATTTTCCTCATTCTCTAAATTTAACCATATAGAACGGGCACACAGTTAGACAGAACTAACAACATTAGTTACTATAATTCTACAATCATGTTTGCATAGTTGTAAACAAACACATTGACAGATCATACAAGAGACATTTTTAAACACTGTAAGTTTATTTCCTTCAATAAAATGTTTTTTAACTTTATTACTTTTGGAAAATCCTTTAAAAACCTGCATTATTGTAATCAGTTGTTTTTCCTCTTTCTGTCTGTTTAAATATATCTGTGTAATAAGCAAATCATTACATTTTACTCTAACGGTGATATGTATAAAAATTGCCTCCCTTTGTTTTTTGTGTTTCACCAAGTAAGGATGAATATTGTTGTAGTGCAACCTATGTAAATGACTAAATAATTGTTTTTTCAATGCTCCCAATTGTTTCACTATGGCCAACAGCCAACGTCACCAAGCCAAACCAGCCATTTAAAATGAAAGCTCAACTCCGCAAGCCAATAAAACATACACCTGCTACAACGGTTCTCTCATGGGCCAGTGTTTTTACACTGTAGTCGGTCCACTAATGGACTGACAAACTGTTCCAGGTGTTCCTGTCTTCACCTATGGTTTTTTTTTTGGAATGGATTCAGCCTTCTCACATTACCACAAAACTAGACTTTAGCAAATTAAATAAAAAACCTCCACAATTAAATAATATTAACTACTTGAACAAATATTTTCTGCCTCTTTTACTTGTCTTGTAAAATAAGCAAGCAATTAAGTCACATGGTGATGTGTTGCAGTCTAAAAAGTATCCCTATAAACATGAACGATACATGTATGTAAACATAGAATTAAATAACAAATTATGTAAAATAAATTAATAACTTACGCACAGAAGTTTGCAAAGGCGTCCAGATTCATCCTCTTCCGCTTCTTGTCACTGAGACAGAAGCCAACTCTGCGGAGTGACATCAGTCTGGGTATCTGAGTGTGGGTCAGCATCCCAGAAAAAAAGAGCGGGGCAGAGAGGCAGGCAGAATTTCACAGTCGGTGCGTACCTGTCAGAGAGGCTGCAGTAAAGTCACGTTGCGTTACTTCCTCTTCGCTGCCATCCGACATCCATGGCGATGACGCAGTCAGTAGGTTTGCAAAGCACTGAAAAAGAAAGTAAAAGTGACTTGGCCTTACCGCTGCTGCTGCTGCTGCTGCAGATGTAGGTCGTCCTCTTCGGATAAAAAGCAGGTTTCTCCTTAAAGAAAAGAAAAAAAAAGCATTTTCACCGAAGTTATTTTTCAGTAAAAACATCATTAAAGCGGTCACACAGACTGAGAAGGATGTCGCGAGGGTCAAACGCAGGGTTCGACAGACATATTACTATATTTTCACCCGAGGGCCGTCTCTACCAAGTCGGTAAGTGACGGACGGGTTTATCACTCTCTTAACTTTTATTTTTACATTTTAATCGCAATCAAACGCTATCCCACTTCCTCTTAAATTATCACGAAAGTAAGTTACTTGCTCGAAACACTTCTGTATTATTGAGTGTGACGTGACGTTGCAACGAACAACCAGAGCGACGGCAGTTTTGGAAACTTGAAATGTTTTGTTTTTTTAATCGACAGTAGATTTCTTAGTAGACCTTACTACGTATTTATGAAAAATAACAAACACACGTAACGCACTTCTCCAGATACTTCCCTCTGTTTTTCAATATATAAAAACCTTTTTCAACAGCGTCATACGAATTGGACAATTGTTGACCATTCATTCAGGCAGACATATTGACTCCGGTCTGCCTATTGACATATCTGTGTCATTTTGTTCTAATATTTAGGAATTTTTGTTCCTAAATTGTTCCATTGTTCCTCTGTTTTTGTTAAAACTATGAGCAGTTGACTTATTGTATTTAAACATCAAACTTCAGGTATTCTTATAATAGTTGGCTAAAATGTCGGCTCCAAGTGGTTCAAATGAAAATTGCATATATTGGCCATTATAACACGTCAATATTTGTATGTTGTAGCTCAACTATGCAAAAATAAGGATAATACGAAAATGCAAGACTTTCAGGTGAAATGTCACATGTAAAAAAGTGAGACTACAGTGCTTATTTAGTGAAAATGAAATTTAATGACACATGTAATACAACGCCGTTCTGATGAAACCCCATTGTTCATTTCTTGCTAATGCATTCTTTATTGTTTTTTTAGTTGACTTTTTAGCATTAATTATATTATATTAAGAATAACAACAAAGACATCATTACATTTTGTCTATCTTTTTGTCTTTCAGAGTATGCCTTTAAAGCCATTTCCCAGAATGGAGTGACATCTGTGGGGGTCTGTGGGAAAGATAGTGTGGCCGTGGTTACACAAAAGAAAATACCCGTAAGACACACACAGTGACACACACACACAAACTTTTGGAGAGAAGTGCCCAAATGGATGCCATGCTGGACGTTAAATTGGAGCCACTGTCATATCAAATTAAGGGTTTAGGCTAATTTCAGACATTGAAAATGTATTTTTTCTGACCTGCAGGAGAAACTGCTGGATTCATCCACTGTAACGAACATGTTCAAGCTGACTCCCCGCATTGGTTGTGTGATGACTGGACACAGTGGTGGGTTTGAACAATCTAATCATATAATTTATCTTGGGTTTTACCAATTACATTTAGTCTTCAAGTAAATTTCCTCGTCACATGAGGAAAAGTAAATTAAGAAACAATAAAACACTGACCTGCCCCGTATGCCCAAACAAAGATGGTTGACGGGGCCACCAGAATGAAGTACAGTAGCCCTTGATGTGACTACTTTGGATAAGATGACCTGGATGAGTGTCATTAAAACAAATTTTTTTTCAAATATGACTTAAAATGTTACTGACATTTAAGGTCACCAGGGTCACTGATAGCGTACTTTAGGTTTGAGGAGTAAACCCTTTCAAATTCATGAAATTTTTCTGATTGCAACACAGCGGATAACATTTCTGGCAGATTTTTTAGACTGAAACAAGAAAATCTACTAAAGCTTCTCCTTGTGTCTTGTGCAGCTGACAGTCGTTCTCAGGTTCATCGAGCACGAGTGGAAGCAGGAGAATGGAAGTACAAGTTTGGTTATGACATCACTGCTGACGTGCTGTGTCGTAGGTTGGCTGATATTTCCCAGGTCTACACACAGAATGCTGAAATGAGGCCTCTGGGCTGCTGTGAGTTTGCTGCTGTTTTGTTTATATCTGACGCTCTTGTCTATGTCTTCAATTTTCATTTCCAGGTTTGTTTTTACCATTGCTGCCAAGATAATATATCTTTTCTATTGCAACCATTTCTTAATGTAGGGTCAGGATCAAGAGGTGTCTTCTGAGATGTTATTTAAGATGTATTTATTAACTAAAACATCTGTACATGTCCTTAAAGTTGTTGATTGGGTAGAGAAAAAACATGATATGAAAAAATGTCCATTATAAAATCACAGGCGTAACAATACGTAATAAGTAATTCATTTCTGGCATTCATTAGATTAAAAATAAGTTATATTTATGTGTTGACATCTTTCTTGTTAACTCTTCAGGTATGATCATGGTGTCTGTGGACCCCCAGCAGGTACCTGTCCTGTACAAATGTGACCCTGCAGGGTACTACTGTGGCTTCAGAGCCATAGCCGTTGGAGCCAAACAGACAGAGGCCAACAATTACCTAGAGAAAAAGCTGAAGAAGAAGCCTGATCTGACTGAAGACAGGACAGTACAGGTGAAGTCAACGATATGGCATTGTCAACAGATGTCTCTTTCATCAATTACTGTAAAAAAAACAACAACGATAGTGTTAAATGGTCCTTGGTCAAACTCAACGCCTTCACAGTCGTCAGGGCTGAAAGACAAAGTAAAAGGACTTCTACTAGAAGAGTGGGTGGTGGCTGTTGCTTTGGGTAAAGAGTTGTGGGTATTATTCTACACAGCATTTTAGAGTTAAATCTTGTCCATAAAAGGAACACCACAATCAAAATGAAGTAGGTATTCTTGACCAACCACATATTTAATTTAAAAAACACAAACAAGTAATGATATTTGATAATTTGATCAGTTTTCTTATTTGAGTTTACTTTCCCTCCTCCACTGTGTGTTCTTAGCTGGCTATATCCACCCTGTCCTCCGTCCTCTCTCTGGACTTCAAGGCCACAGAGCTGGAGGTTGGTGTGGTCACCAAAGAGAAACCATTTTTCAGGTAACATGAATCACACATCAGTGAGGTAGATGCACTGCTGGCATAAATTCAGAGTCAGTGTTTTTTGTTTTAATTTGCTTTTGTTTCTGTTTTAACTCCTCTTGTCCTTCCTACAGGACGCTGTCGGAGACACAAATAGAAAGTCACTTGGTTGCAATAGCAGAACAGGAATAAAGTATGGAGCAGAAGTCCATGCATTCCATTTCTGTCTAACTGATTTATTTATCAAGGACAATAACCTATGTTAAATTGAAACAAATTAAGTCAGTTTGAATCTATAGCAACTCTAGCAACGTCAACAGGGCAATGTTTTTTTTACCTGTCAGCACAAACCCAATAAATTTACAGTGTGTCATGATAAAGTGTGCAGTTGTTACTGACAGACACTATGAAATGCATTTTCATTCATCCATGTGACTTCTGTAGATTTGTTAAAGTCCATGTGGGGAGCTAGAACTGGTCTGAGCTGGGGATGTATGAACACTGTATGGACCTTCACACATTTATTTTCACACTAGCAGGCTAATAAAACAGTAAAACGGTACCAATGGCTACCACAATTAATGTGCTGTGAAGTGTGCCTCCAGGATACATAAGGAACTTTTCTTTTACTTGCATATCACAGTCCTGTCCATATTAGCACACATCACAAACACTGTTCACCTTTAGTCGTTCATTTGATTTTCATTGTTAAAACATACCAAGAAGGGTTTGTTTCTTGAGATGTTTGAGCTGAGAGCTGAGAAATGCTGTCAGGTGCATGGGAGGTCTTATTTCACAGAGTCAAATTAGACCAACGTACCATGGAAGCTGTATGTACCCTGGTTAACAACACACAACCAACAGTTGGCTACAGTATAACTGCTCATACATCCAGTACAAATTCTAAAATTATTGTAAACATATACATGTCATGTTCACTTCTACTATTGTCAGATAAATTACCTTTATCTCCACATACCAAAACAGTGGAGTATACTGTTGTTTTTTGCAAACAGACACACCGTCAGTGCTGTAGGTGGCGCCACTGCTTTTGTTCAAGTGTCGTGTCGGGCAGGAAAAGGAAGTAGTTTGTTTTCTAGTTCTTTAACATGGTGGTCGCAACGATGCCGAAGCGTGTCAGAGCTGCGCGGCCAGACTTTGTAAGTTTATCGGCGTCTACTGAGTCCCTCAAACAGAGAAAACGTGTGAATAAAAACAAGAAGAAAAACTGGAACAAACACAGTGACATTAATGACATCGAAAAATATTTAGACGACGTCAGACATGAGCAGAGGACCACAGGGTAAGTTCACGTTTGATTTTTTAGGCATTTGTGTATATCACATGTATATAAATATATATACATATATGTATATTTCGTATGTATGTTTTCCGATTTTATAAAATCTTACTAAATACATTACATTTTGTCTTTCAGAGGACTTTTGTCGGAGAAATCCGATAATGCTTTGTTTTTTCTGGATGCCAGACAACCAGAGGATACCGAGGCAAATGGTACACGTGTTTCTTTGTATACTTTTGTATGGCATTTCTAAGGTAGAATTAAAATAAATGTCCAATGTCCTGTTATTATGTAGTAGATTTACCTTCTACTTTCCACAGTAACTCAGGTTCAAATGCTCTACTATCTTGTTAATTGCATTTCTTAAAAAGGGTCATGAATTTAGTAGTTTTTTCTCATTGTTTTTTAAGTTGCCGAATCTGTCCCAAGGAAGAAAAAAAGAAAACCATCCCGCCCTTTGAAAATAGACTTGATTCTACAACATGACTCTAAGATTCCACCACCAAAGGAGTAAGTACTTGTTACTGCTTTTTGTGTTTAATTATATTTCATCATAATTTACAATACAACATTACACATTGTCTTTTTTTATGGATGATAAAGTTGGATAAACAAGTGCATGTTTGTTAGCCTGGTCACATTGATTAAAAGGAATAAACCCAATTCATACTGTTTTAATGAAGGTACAACTTAAAAAAACATCTTTCTGAAAATACATTGTTCAGCCAGTGATGATCCCATCCTTGCGCTCCAAGTATTTCCTTTATGGAAATGTGAAGACAACTATCAGGAGCATGGGAGACTGTTATGTGAACAGTTTCCCTGGATCTGAGGACATAACACTCATTTTGAAAACTAAAGGCACATTCCAGGGTTTCCTGGAGTGTTTCTTGTTAGCTGTTGCTTGTGCAACCTTTGTTATAGCTATATGTTGCCAATAACCTCTGTCTTTTTCATAGTATTCTAGCATACCAGCAACCAAATGCCAAGAAACTACGTCGAATTGCCCAGAAAGCTGAACAGCTTGCAGCTAAAAAGACAGTGACCAGACGACAGAAAGCCCTTCTGAAGAGACAGCAGGTTGACAGAGTGGCAGAGAAGGAGACAACCAAACTGTATAATCCTAACAGAGAGTATTATGACATTTGGGAACAAAATAGTGAGTATAGAGAATTGCCATCCTTTGCTTTTTTGTCCTGACATGTCTGCTGTAAACTAAATGAAATGTTAATATAATGGAACAATAGAAAAGCTAACAGTATCAGCAGTTATATTTAATTATACTTTTTTTTTTCCTCACAGCTAAAGATTCAGCTGACCACTGGTATCTTCAACAGACTGGGAAAAAACCTGTCAAGGTGAGGCAGTTTCCAGATGTTACTTTTTTGTGTTGTGTTTTTCTCCTGTCAGCTCTGGCCAATGCTCTAAAGCTTGGTTGTAATGCCATTTTTGGCCAGTTTCCATTTTCAGTTGCAAAAAGAATATAACAAACATATGGACATGACATGAGTAATATAAATATGGCAACTGGAAAAACAGATGAAAAAGTACCAGTGGAATTGCAAATATGAAGTAACTTTGGAGGTGCATGGCAGCTTTCTGTTGGTAGATAGAGACGCTGTTAGTATAACAGTAAAAAGCATGATGAAAGATTTTAAGAAAGATTTAAAAAAATGTTTACTTCCTTGTAGTGAAAACAAAAATGCTGAATGTTGCTCCAGCTACACAAACCTAAACATTCAGCTAAAGTGACGTGTTCAAACATGTAGGATTCATAGTTGTTTGAAAACTAAACAAAAAGAAACAATCATTTATTTTAAACAATATATTGTGTGTTGTGTTTAGTGCTAATGCCTTAAAGCTAGAAAATTACTAGTTACAACTGACTTTTTTTGAGAGGCCTTGACATTCTATAATCACAGTGTGCTTTTTGTCATGGCCCAAGAATCATTTATTATAGGACATAGTATTTATGATATATTAATTATTATGAAATCATGCCTTATTCTGTTTCATATGTTTTAATGTAATGAGTAAAATGTCTTTGGTTTTGTCAGCGCCCAGAAAAATTAAAAGAGAGACCTTCAGCCCTGCCTGCAGTTGAAGTAATCGCCCCTGGAGGATCCTATAACCCAGATTTCTTCTCTCATCAGGTAAGAGTCTCTGCTTGACTGTTGTATGGGATTAAGAAGTAGAAGATTCTTACTTTGGCCAACGTTGATCCTTTAGACATCCACATAAGTACTGTCTTACTGAATGCACAAATAACCAGTGATGTTGGCATGAAGCATAAGTGTGTAACATCCTGTGCAGACATTCGAAAACTGTAAGAAAAATCATTGAAAATCATTCCACAATGTTGTCTTAAATGCCCTGCACTGACTGTTGTGTTGCTTCTGTCCTAACCCAGGCCTTGTTAAAGGACGCCCATGAGGTGGAGGTGAAGAAAAAGAAGGAGGAAGACAAAATAGAGAGACAGTTGGCTGTAAGAAGAGAAGACACAGCAACAGAGGTAGGAATCCTTGTTTCAAGTCTTGTCCATTTCCTCTAAATCATGAGGACATTTGTTTTTGTTTTTATTAAATACGGGGTTATGCTTCTGCAGGAGACTATTCTACAAGAACAGGTGGAGGGTTTGGTCGAAGAAGAGGACGATGCGGCTTCTATTGAGGAGGAGGAAGATGATGTGGCAACGGGTGGCATTGTCCTAGCACAGAAGAAAACTGAAAGGCAGCGGAAGAAAGAGAAAGCAGAAAAAATAAAGGTAAAAAGGCTTTTCACAAATATATCTGGATATCCACAAGTGGGGTCAGTCTGATTGACATTTGCAACAACAAAATTGGTAGATTTGTAAAATAAAAAATGTATTAATTATGTACATTATTTATGTTTTGGACAAAAATAACATTTGAAGACTAGCTTGGTAAAATCAACAATCAAGTGTAAGTGCTGAAATAAAATATAAAGAGTAACATGGAGAGTTCACTGCCGAGACCTTGGCTTAACCAGTATGATGTGTAAAATGATAAGAAAAATGGCAAAATAGACAAGTGAACCATTGTAAGAACGACCAACATTACTGGGAAGAGTGTGGAAAATATTGTTGTGCATGTTTTTTGGTGATTTAATTATTGATTTTTACCATAATGGCATTACGGTGTTATCATCTCTGCTGTTATAGCTCTACCTCAGATATGATAGTCTTTTCATCTTGACTCCATCTCTTTCTTTTTTATTTCCGGATGCATATGAAAATGCAAAATAATTCTTACACTGCTTTTTAAATTTCACACATGTATATTAAGTAGGGATGCACAGAATTTTCAGCCGAAAACCGAAAATGCACTTTAGGTCCATTTTTGTCCGTAAGTATTTTATCACCGAAACAACACCGCCAAAATAGGAAGCTATGATTACGCAAGCAAAAACCAAAATATCCAAAATGTTCTTTTGACTAGGCAAAACTGCGTTAGAGATATCTGCAATACATATCCAGCTCAGTGTTTAAATGTCGGCTTGCCATAAGCACCAACGTCTACGGTGGGGACCTATTTCAATATATCTGAGAAAGACCCACGGATAGAGATTGGTAAAATGTGTTATGGTTATATTTCAAGTGAGGGTGAAAAGTAAAGATCCTCTGCATCCGTCGCGACTGTACATGACCCACATTATGAGATCATTACACATGATCCAAACGCGCAGAACCTGTTGGAGACGGAGAAGCTCACTGCGCAGGAGAAAGAGAGCAGTGTGCCAGATGAGGGGCAGGCACCCTTGTTGTCTGTTATGTTCTGACCCTCAAATAATAATAGGTAGGCTGTTCTGACTCTCTATGTGACTATCAGTTGATTTTATTTCTCTGATAGACTTTTTAAAATGAAATGCTTTGACATTTATTAATTAATTATTTATTATTGATTTATGCACAGTGACTTGATCATATTGAGGTTTAGTTCACAGTCATAGCCATAAATGCAATGGTACTATTAATTGGCATAATTATTTCCTTCATTGAATTGGTTTTCAGTTTTTGGCCTTGGTTTCCTCATTTTCGGTTTCGGCCAAGAGTTTTAATTTCAGTGCATCGCTAATATTAAGTGTATTATTGTATATCCTTTGGGGTTTTCAGTTGTAAAACTCTACTGTATACTGCTATGTAAATTAGTTATTCTCTCATCAAAAACAGGAGCATAAACTGTTGTCTGACAGAAGAAAGGCTGGCCTCCAACAACAGCTCTTTCAGCTTCGTTCCATCAAGTCGTCCATCAAACATCAAGAACAGAAGACCAAGGACAAACAGAAGCTACGTGAAGCTGAGAAAGAGGCCCAGAAAAGCCAGCCTCGACGTCTTGGCAGACTTAGGTATTAATAACACTCTTGGTATTTTTATTGTGTGAAATAAGCTACCCAAATTGTCTGTCTAGGTTCTCAGTCATCCAGGTCATTTTATCCAAAAATAGTAGGAAATTCTGATATTTATCCTCAAAGGGGCTGCATACCTGTTACGAGGGTCGTTGCAGAAAGGAGGGGGTGGAGGTGTGGTGGATCACACCTTATTATAAGGAGGGTGGAATGTAAAGTCACAAAGTTCACATAAGAATAATATAAAATGTGTATGGAGCCAGTCAATTGTTGTTGACTTAACCCTTTTAAGTGAAGCCCTTTGGTTACTCCCATTATGTTTCATTAAGAATCTACATGTTACATCTATGACAGCTCACCACCTGATTGGTTCTACTTGTCTTTTCTTTCACCTAGTTTTTGCTGCAGGGTAAAGAAGAATTTCTTTTCAGTCAGCTGTGTGTGTGTGTGTGTGTGAAACCTCAGTCATTTCTTTAGCTCTACCTCCATCTCCAGACCAAGTGGTCAATGTTTTTTCTTTCCCTTTTTTCTTGCAGGTTCCAGCCTCAGGATATGGAAGTGCAACTGAGTCATGAGTTGTCCAGCTCTCTGAGACAGCTCAAGGTATTCTGCCCACAAAGTTTAATATTCACAGCTGCATGAATTCTCTGTGGAATATCCCATCTTCCTTCGCCTTTGTTTCTGAATGAGACTTTTAGTCTCAATCCGACTATTTTTCCTTACTCTTTCCTTGTCATTTTTCGATGCTGCAGCCAGAGGGCAGTGTCCTCAAGGACCGATTTAAGAGTTTTCAGAAGAGGAACTTGATTGAACCTCGAGAAAGAGCCAAGTAAGGACTTTATTCAGTCGATCTTTTCCTATTTATTTATTCATTGAACTTGTATTATCAGGTTTAATGTATAAAACCAGGACTGTATTAATTTAAACTAACTCCCTCTGCCTTTACCCTCCAGATTCAAGAGGAGACTCAAGCTCAAATATGTGGAGAAGAGAGCTTTCAGAGAAATTTCTTAGTGTCTCAGTGGAAAGCATAAATCACAGCTCAGATGAACACAAGACACAGTATCACCCTGGCATTGAAGATGATGACTGCTGATGTTGTCTATCTTATTTTCATACAATTACAACAGTTTGCAAATTTGTCACCAATAAATTATATACAAAAACTGACCAAAGCAGCTAAACATGGGTTTGTTTTGTGGTTCATACTGCAGCCCTGGACATTATCAACGTTCTCTCTGTAAGTGTGTAGTAGTCCTGTCTTTTTCATCAAAACGGTTTTTAAGGAATTTTCTGAGTCACTTAAAAACTGTTTTAGAGAGAGAGCACTTCCAAAGGTGTAGTGACACACACACCACAGTAGTGTGTTGGACCAGAAGCAGAACCCCATGGTTTAATCACATGATTTAACCTTTCCTCTTCCTCTAATCTGCTCATTCCTAATTCTGTTCATCCTGGTCAGTCTCAATGAAAGTGTCAACCTTCTCACCATTCGTCTGTTACACGTCCTTATCCATTCAACTGCCTGCATCAACTGCCTATTAATCTGTAATTATTAATCTGTTATTTCCCAGCCTGGGATCAGTAGAGTATATCTATCTGTCCATCCATCCACTCATCCTTCTATGTATGTCTCCATCTGATCTACTCTATCTATTACTATGTATAACACATCATAGTTATTTAAACTCATCTTCACCACCTTCTACTGATTTACTAACCATCCAACTGTGTCACTCTCATTATTCCTTTGTGGTTATAGACCAGCGGTTGGCCTTACAATCAGAGAGTGCGGGGTTTGATTCCCAGAGGACCACCACTTAGTGTCTCCAACAGGCAGCCTGTTGCAGCAGATCTACTAACAGGAGAATTTCCCCAGTGTGGGCTCAATAAAGGTCAAACTATTATTAGTTATTTCATAGTTTCAAACGATCCACAGCACTTCAGTAACTGTATTTATAATACCCCTTTGACAAAATTACTACTGAAACCTTCACTTAAACAGAAAAAACAAATGAGGTCCAGGTCTGTTTGTCAGTTTGTTGCCTAGAGGCAGAACATGGGAACGAAGATCAAATGGCAGAATAAACAGACGATGGTATGAAGACAGGAGCGACTCTGGTCCTGTAGTGACACAGTGTGACCACCACACGTCGAGTAGGAAGAAAAGGCAGACATATGGAGTCATTTTTTATTTTACATCAGCGAAAATGTCTATATCTGTGTTGATGTCAATAAATGACAAAAGTCATTGTGTAACTTTGTCTAATATAAAATAATAATATAATTGGATTGATAACTAATTATAGCTTAATGAAATATAACAATGAGTATGATATTATCAATGAGACACGGCTTCTCTTTAATGTGTTTAGCGTTTAAATCTAACGTTTTGAATCTTGCTCTCTCTGTCATCCTCCTCTGTGTGTGCCTATAGCCGGCCATCTGTTGGAGGATTAATCCTCGCTGTGCTTAGAGTTATTATAGGCAGGCTTATCACTGTAGCAACAAGCCTTCAATCTCAGTCCAGCACAGCTGCCACGTGACCTGTGCTGAGGAGTGGGGGGAGGTGGGGGTTGCACACACACACACACACACACACACACGCATGGGAGACAGCAGAAAGACTAAAAGCTACATGTTTAAAGGACACACATACAGCAGGCACCTGTAAGACTCCATACACCAACAGTGGGTTTATCCACTTTTTATGGACTGTTTAACAGTTGAGCAGGAAACATGTAGTGAACAACTGTCAGCTGTGGCACAGATTAGTACGATGGATGGCCAAGTGTTTAGCCTGTTGACTGACTGTCTCCATTGGCTCATACACTGCACACCCTGGAAATAATTATACAATAGTATGAAAAAATTGACGAATGATTTTACATTGGTTAAGATATCGAAAAACTATCGACACCTTTATCTTATTAAAGAAAAAGAAGCAGCTTCAGAACCTGGGGCTAGGGTTTGAACCAGCAAACCTCCATCCATGAGCACCATCCTAAACTGTCTTGATGGAGATAATAAGATTGTCCGGTTAGTTTATAAGACTAAATAGAAAGACTTTAACTCCACAGCAAATCCCTACAGTCTCCACAGGGGGCAGTTTGTGGCAGTGACTGGTGAGACTGGTTGTGGGTCAAGCGGAGGTTTCGTTCCCATTCTGCGTGCCTTCGTCTGCCACTCAGCATAATTACATAACTGGTGGTGGTGAATTATAAACCTGGGAATCTACGAGAACAGCTGCAGCTGCAGCACATGTAGGAGGGAGGAAAATCAAAACAGCCCTGAATCTGTTTGTTAAAAGGGCAACAACACATGTCATGGTCAAGTACATACAATGTTTATTCATTTTAAAACCATGCCATCATCAGGTTGTTGTTTTTTTAAACAAGAAGTATCAACAATTCAGTGCAAAAGATTCACCAAAATCAATATCACACCAGTGAGTTTTTCTTGGTCCATTACTGGTTTCCTTCAAGGTAGTATTTCATAATCATGTTTTAATAAAACTTTATTAAACTATGGCTTAAAGTAGTAGTAAAAATCCTGAAGCACTTGATTGATGTATTTCAGAGGGGCGTTTCTGTAACTAACAGACCCCCCAGACTGGAGGAGTGACCTCTTCCCCAGAGTGGACCATGAGGAGGATTTAACCACAGGACTTTAACATACTGCCTTCTTGAACTTGCAACATATTTCCTTAGACATTGATTTTGTATAAAATTTGTGTCTACATATCTGAGATATTTATTTTGCATTAGAAAAACATAAAAGAACCAAACACATGACATACTTTACTGTACATTAATATTCAAAGGGATTGTTAATTTTTTTTTTTTTTTTTACATTGAACTGGTGTAAAGCACTGGTGGATTTCCTCAAATAGTTTTTGGTCCCAACTTTTTTTTCATACACATTCATACAGTAATATCTGGATATTATCACTACATAATTGTTTAGATTTTGTAAATTGTAATTTTTTTAAATTAGATTGTTTTTTCAGGAGCATGTTTTATCAAATATTATTAATCTGTTCACAGAAATATCGTGCACTGTGAACGTAAAAAAAGGATTTAAAATTGAGCTTTTGAAACACATTCGGCAGTACACGCTGAAACTCCTAAACTACAAGTATAAACACATCTGAATAAAGATTAAGGTACACAGGTCAGGTATGAATGTACACAGTATAAATTAACATACAATAAAAGTACGTACAGTATTCTTCGCTGGTGAAGAATACAAACTTTCTTTTTATAACAACTACATAAACAATTAAAAAATAAATAAACAATTGAGATTCCTTCAGCGAGAGATACATTTTATCGTAGCATTCAAAAATCTGACCGTTGATATTTTAGATTAAAAAAAAAGACTTGTTCCTTTACAAAAAGTTACGACACACAAAGTCAAAAGCGTCAGACAAAAGTGTAAATTCACTGATGGGTTTCACATTGACAATAAGAAAACCCGACAGCAGGGGGTGGTGGTCTTTAGAGGTCTGGCGTCTGCTGTTGTTTTGTGAAGTGAAGTATCCTTATCATTAATTGTCGTTGTGTATAAGTTGGGAGTCACTAATGAATGTTGTATAAATGTAAACCAAAGAAAAGCAGGGCACATTTATGGCAATCTGCACCGTCCACTGTTTCCCACTTGAATGAAACCAGACACGGTGACAGAGTCCAGGGAGCACGTGCAGCTCAGAGGACTCAAACTGCTCTTCCTACACTCATTATGGGATGTTTCCTTTGGTGAACGAATACTGGCTGTTTTCCATATTATATTCACTGGAGAGAATATTGACCTTTGCTGCTGGGGAGATTAGAGCCGAGCACGACTGCAGCTCTTTTTTATAGTACAGGACATTGGCTTAAATTCAAAGTCAGTCTTTAATCCTTCACCTGAGGGAACAGTGAACTTTTGGAAGCAACGTCTCTGTTTCTGTTTTTGTATGTTGTGATTTATGTTGGTGGAGTAAACTGTACGCCCTTACTTCTGATGACACTTGGCTGCACTTGTAAGAGCCTCTGAATCCAGTTCTTAATTACCTCAAAGGAGAGCGAAGAAACGCTTTAATCATCTGTTGCTTAAATGACTTTAATCCTCAATGACAGGCATTAAAGGTGTTTACACTAACTGTTTTGTATACAGAGTTTTTGGTCCGTATATGCCTGTGTTATGTGACCTTATATGGAGTCTACTGGGGTTCTAAGATCTACTGAATACTGTGCTCTGTATCATCAAGGTCTTTTACAGTTTTTCTCTACTCAAATTCTCAAAATCAGCAGCAGTCTTTGACCACACGACTCTCACTGCTGATTTCAGTTGCTGTAGTGAATTTCTGAGATGAATGAACAGCTGAGTCTGCGGCACAGCAGAACTGACAGAAAACGTCATCAGAACCTAGGAATACTTCTGTTAGATACTTAGTTTCTCAATAGAATAAAAAAAAGTGATGACATGGCGATTCCAGTCTCACAACATGTCAAACAGTTCTGTCTATAACATGAAAATGGAGGTTTATATTCTTTTATTATATGATCTGACATATATCACTCTGTTGTGACTTTAATGGTATTCTGCGAACAGTAAAAAATATTATTAGAATAATATAAATTGTGGAAAGATACATTTTTATACATTTTAAAGTATTTATATATAAATACATATATTTGAATATGTATATAAATGTATATATTATATATGTATATTTTTTGCTTTTCTGAGGTTTGGACAAGACAAAAAAAATTAAATATAATTATTAGAACCTGTATTTGGAGATTATGTCTTTGAGTGGGTGGAAGAGCTGAGTCTCAGAAACCAGTAATTGATGTCAAAGAAATCTTTGCTCTGTTTTAAACCAACCCTCAAAAGCTGCAGTTATTTTTACCCCACAATTTTACAAAGACCTGAGCTTCAAAGCTTCCAAAACCTTCATAAAAAAGCTATCGGTGGTGCCGGCCCTGCACATGCTACTGTAAACTATACAATTTAAAATTCATTGTTATGTATTTGATATAAACATTCTATATCATTTATAGTGTGATAAATCGATGGTGATAGTGAGAGAATAAACAACATAATAAAGTGGAAAAGGAAGTCCTGTATCAGAACAACACAAGCTCTCTCACTCTCTCTCGCTCTCTTACACGCACACACTTTTATCTTTTATGTCAGAGTGAAAAATGTGTATATGGTATTTCCCAGTGCTCGTGTTAAAATTGTCTTGACACAAAAGATAAATATTGTTTTTCCTTCTTTCTTTCTTTTTTTTACGGCAGTGTTCTAGCAGAGGTGAGGCTGACGTTAATCAGAAACGGCTTCTGGCTTCAGTCGAATTGAATCCTCTGATGGTATTAGAAGGTGACATCCTCACTGTATTTTGAAGACTGTTTTCCTTCCCACTTTTCATCTCTAGTCCTGATTTCTCTCATCTCTTAAGGATTTAATTCTTCCTATTAAAAAAAAAGAAAACTGAACCAAACCACGTTCGTCACTAGAAGACATTTCATTTCCATTTATGTTTTAAGACTTTTTGTCTCTCCTTTTTTGACATGCACATTTAAATACATTTGGATTAATTTTCTATCTGTCCACATCCTTATCGCCCCTTTGTGGTCACACGTATGCTGACTCACTGGATTGTGTGCGACCCAGGTTGGGCAGCTGAGACAAGTGGGACATGTCCTTTTTCCTTATCTCACAGATGGACTTCCTGCGGGCCTGGACACCTCTAATAGCAGCTTTGATTTTGCGCCAGCCTAAATGGTTCAGCTCGGCCAGGTTGAGCAGCACACAGACGCCACTCACAGCAAACATAAAGACCAGGAAAACGGTTTTCTCTGTGGGTCGGGACACGTAGCATTCAACCTCCTTGAGACATGGGTAGCGATCACACTCAAAAATTCCAGGCACGCTAAAGCCATAAAGGAAGTACTGGCCCACTAAGAAGCCGATCTCCAGTGCGTTTCTGAACACGACCTGAATGATGTAAAATCGTGAGATTCCCTCTTGTCTGCGGATCTTTGAGCTTTTCCCCTGGCTCAGCCCTCTCGAGGCGTTGGGAATGTCTTTTATCTCCAGGCAGTCAGGTTCTTCCTTGCCTCCTACACCATCACTTCCATGCTGAACAAAAATTCCATTGATGTTGCGAAGCCTTCGTGCGCTGTCCCTCCCCCCAAAGTCCCTCTCTAGTAAGGGATAAAGAAATGAAAAGCGTCGATCTCTTTGCTTGGCAGACTGATGCACTGAGTATGTGATGAAGCAAAGGCTAGGCGTACAGACTAGTATGATCTGGAAGACCCAGTATCTGATGTGTGAAATGGGGAAGGCCTTGTCATAACAGGCCTGGTTGCAGCCCGGCTGCAGGGTGTTGCAGATGAACATGGTCTGTTCATCCTCGTACACCGTCTCCCCAACGATGGCCACAATCAGGATCCGGAAAATTACCACCACTGTCAGCAAGATCCTACAAGGAAAATGAATAAAAAGGAAGCAGATTTAACTATGATTTAATCAAATAGCTTATTATTAAAAGGCTTGAAAAAAATCTGTTTTGTTGAGTATGCAAAAGTTGCAGTAACTTACAGTGACTCAAAACTAATGTTCCTTAGTTACATTTCAGAAATTACATTTTTACACCATTTTTAATTAGTTAGAAGCTTGATGTGTGAACCTGAGTCTTACTGTATACATACTTCATATTCATAGGTATTCTGCTATATTATGGCTTTATTGTTCAATGATTGGTTAAACAGAACAAGTCCCTATTACCACAAAATACTCATTTTAATTATCACTTTATTGCTGGAGAATCAATAGAAACTCTTAGTTTAATATTTATATTAGACAAAAAGGGAAGCAACAATAAATTAACCTAGAAAAAGGAGAGGTCAAAGGTGGTGTCAGGGGAGAGTGTAACTGAACTTCATGGGCTGGTTGTTTAAAGGGTGGAAACACTGAAGAGAAAATGAGTCAAACAAGAGGTGAAGAATAAATGGTGGAAACTAAGAAAGTCAACATGTACAGGACATCACAGAAGAAGGTTTGTCAAAACAAGGCTCAGGCAAGGGATTAGCAGTTAACAGTACTACTGAAGTAACACTTCACTCTGAGAGTATTGGCGGAAAAGTTCACAGGAGGTCAGAAGTGTAGCCTAAATTCACTGAGGAATCTAGCGGACAACCAGCCATCACATCTCAAGCAATGTATCCCAAATGGAGGAAAACTTCTGTCCGTCTGTCCGTCCGTCTGTCAAAATGTCTTAATCCAATTGTTAGAGGTGCTGTGTTTCAATTTAGGGGCTTGCTGTCCCCATAAGCATACAGTAAAAAGAAAAGAAAAAACAGGAGGAATTGAGACAATAGGAAGTGTGTAGATGACCAGAAGGTAGAACGTGTGGACAGGTTCAACAGGAATCCGTGGTGAATGTACTGTATTAAAGATGTTATAAAAACAATAATGAAGGGGCAGCACTTGTTCCCAGGAAACCCACCCTGACTCCCCTCTTCATCCCTGCTCCACCACTGCCACCTTTTTTCCCTCCCTCATTTTTCTTCCCCTTCTCACTCTCTTTCCACTCAATTTCCTCGGAGTTGCCACGGCAACAGACCCAGGCAGAAAAAGAAGGGGGAGATAGAGAGCACTGACATTACAACTAACAGCCTCCTGATGGTATTTTTATCTGGAGGTAGAAAGCAGTGACAATAGGCAGAATAGGTGTGCTGAGGGGAATGACACATGTGATGAATAATTCCCACACAATTCCCAACTCCTCCTGTTTTCTAGTACATCCATGTGGGGGAGCCACCAGGAGATACAATTGATCTTTAATCAACAATGAACCACAGGGTTAATGAGCTATAAATATTATTTTCATTTTTGCACACTGAACTAAACTGCATCAAACAAACATGCAGAGTAGAGGAGGGTTGTCACATTAAAATGTTCACGGAGACAAAATTAGAAACTCAATAGAAAGTCCGGGTTTTCACTGGTTCAACATATATTTTTTAACATTCCATAAGATAATAAATACATCCTATGGCCTTTGAGTCAGACGTAGTTTCAGCTAAATGAAAACAACATCCTTTAACAGAATATACATCATAAATGTCAAGAGTAAACAGACGTTTGTTTTTATTTTAATAGATAGTTGCAGCTGTCTTTTAGCCACTCAACAGAAGCTCACATCCAAAATAAAAATGTCTCTTTTTTATTTCCCTACTGTTGAACTTTTATTGCCTTGGAATCAGTATAATGTATAGCAATACAGTCCGCACTACTGGCTGATACCAGGTGACCATTCCTCGGTACAAAAAAGGCTGGGGACCGCTGATCTAAGGTAATAATAATAATGTGCTCCAAGTGTCCCTCATGATCAATTTTAAGTGATTTATTACTTATTGAATGTAGCACAGATGTAGTTTTAGGACTGGTGCTCATTTTAGTTGACTTCACAGAGATGCTGCTTTTGCCTAAGCAGGGTGAGTATTCGATCGCCGTTGGTAATTGATGGTCTTTCTGAATGGAGGTTGAATATTCTGTAACCATGGATTTCCAGCCACACACATTTAATACCACATGACCACCTACACTCTCTTGGTTGCGTATTTGACAGTTCATATGAGATTATCCTCCGTGAAAAAAAGAGTATGTATGCAGGATAATACAAGTGTTTTCCTGAACTGACCCCTCCATCCTCCTGATGATTAATGATAATTATACAAAACTAAAACAAGACAGGGCTGTTGTGTGGCAACACTGTATTAGACTATAATACTCTGTCACCAAATGAAACTATATTCCTTTGTCCGTTTATTTTGAGGCATTTTACAATAACCCAAGCTTCGTTTTGTGTCTAGAAGCAGATGCTACTGATGTTGATGGTGAGACACAAAACTGAATCAAAGAAGGAATATTTATTGTCACACAAATTTGGATCAAATCTTGGGGTTTTGTACTCTGACCTTACCTGCCAATCATTGTCGAGTGTTGCTGCACAGCAGCCTCCAGGAGGCGCTCTAGGATGGTCCATTCTCCCATGCTTGCGGTAGGGAACATCCAATATGCACAGAAAATTTGGAAAAATGTTCCTGGTACCGATGGTCCTCAGTGTCACGTTCTGTAGGTCGTCCAGTCCACTTGTTGAGCTGAGGTAGGGAGTGGTTTCAGACCGCTGAGGTCAGTGTGGAAGGGCAGTTAAAACAGAACCTCAAAAAGTGTGAGCATTCTTTCTTTCCTTTTGTTAGTTTCTCCAAGACACTATCCTAACTGCACCTGAAGGTTTGGAATGAGGCATGACTGTGTTGTGTAAACTTGTGTTTCTCCAGGTCAAACGCTCCTTCGTCCATGGACCGTCTCTCAGGAGTGACTCTGTCCATTCTTATACCTGTCTCCCTCTGATGCACCTGGTCTTGCACACCTCCGAAACACCTGGTTCTTACAAACATGAGGAGGCGCTCTCCTTAGGTGAGCTTCTACGGTCATTTGTTGCACACACAGCAGTGCTCCCTTCTCAAACACCAGTTGTTTGGTAGCATCTCTCAGCGCCGCTGACAGGTCGTAGGATCTTCACACTCATGCTGAACAACCAGTGATATTTACTTCTCCTGCATCAACTTCATGTCCTTTTTCTTCAACTCAGTTTCTTTTGTGTGGCTCCTCTACTAATTAATGTATTTGTTCAGACTGGAAAAAAATGTAATAATTCCTCATACCGAACCATCTTCTTTTTTCTTCAGTACCAAGATGTTGCCGTTTTCTTGTTGTCTTTCCCACTCCCTCACTCTGTAGGAGTGTCTTCAGTGCTCTCTAGTTAAATAACTCCTTTTCTCTGTTTCCTTTTTTTTGTCCATGCCATTTGACTTCTCTCTCTTTTTCCATTTGCCCCCTCCACCTACCTCTGTCTCTCTTTAAGCTCACAGGCAGCAAGACCAGGCGTGTGTGGAAGGGATTAGAGAGAGGGAGAGGAATCAGTTCTCCGCTCCTCCCCCTCTCACTGACTATCACTGTGTTTATCCCCTCTCCCTCCTCCTTCTCTCTCCACCAGTACTGAGGAACCACATAAACCTGTTATCACCACATTTTCATAAATTGCCTTCTCTGTCTTCTTAAATTATTTTGTATCATGTGTCCATCATTTTTATCTGTACTACAGTTTTACCTCTGTCTCTCTCTCCTTCTCTCTTTGACTCCCCTGTCTTACCCCTCCTCTTCTGCCCCCTTTTTGACAACCTCAGTTCATCAGGCTTGTTTCTCCCCTTTCTCTCTCTCATCCTTACTCCTTTGCACTCTCACACTCTCCTCTCCCCCAGTCTCTAAAAAGGTTGTGTATATGTGTCGTCTCTAATCTAAGCAGCCGTACCAGAGTCCTGG